ATTATGCCACAATATATTTTTTCCTTTTGTAATAGTCTTATTTTCTTTCTCTCAACTCTCCTTCACTCTAACAAATGTTAAAAGCCTGATGTATTTCTCTGCATCTTTGCCTATGCTCATCAAAACATATTCAAATATGGATATTCATATATAAAGGGTTGGAGTGATAGTGGTAGTAGGTTGGGTTATTTTTTTAAATTCAAAATAAGATCATACTACATTTCTATGCACAATGATTTCCTCACTTATTTCATGGATATCTATTCATTTTAACAGAAATAGCTTTAACCCACTTATTACAGCTATATAATTTATCCAAGTCAAATATGAAAACAAAATGTGCAAAGATCTGGAGTCAGAACACCAAAAAGGAGGAACATGCTGAGCATTTCTCAAGCTTGGGGAACTGAGGAAAAAAATGGAAGCTTCGACTTTTCGTTATTCTCTGGGCATATTATTGAATGATGTGGAAAGCATCAAAAGAAGATGGAAGGAATACAGAGTCACTGTACCAAAAGAAAATGGTTGATATTCAACTGTTTCAAGAGGTAACATATGATCAATAGCCAATGATACTGAAGGAAGAGTCCAAGGTGCATTGAAGGAATTGGTAAAGAACAAAGCTCCAGGAATTGCTGGAATCAAAATTGAAGTCTTTCAAGAAAGTGAGGTGGCACTGGAGGCACTTATTCATCTACACCAAGATATTTGGAAGACAACTATCTAGCAGACTGATTGGAAGATAGCCATTTTTGTGACCATTCCAAAGAGAGGTGACCAAATGGAATGCAAACATCACCGGAGAGTATCTTTGATATCCCATGTGAGTAAAGTTTTACTAAAGGTAATACAGAAATGGCTGCAAGCATACACTGACAGAGAACTTCCAGAGGTTCATGCTGGATTCATAAGAGGACGTAGAATGAGGGATATCACTGCTGATGTCCGATGGATCTTGGCTGAAAGCAGAGAATATCAGAAAGATGTTTACCTGTGCTTTATTTACTAAACAAAGGCTTTTGATTGTGTGGATCATGACAAGCTATGGACAACACTGCGAAGTATGAACACTTAATTGTGCTCATGAGGAATCTGTACATGGACCAAGAGGCAGTTGTTCAAACAGAACATGGGACTACTGAATGGTTTAAAATTAAGAAAGATGTGCGACAAGGTTGTATTCTTTCACCATACTTACTCAACCGGTATACTGAGCAAATAATCTGAAAAACTGGGTTATATGAAGAAAAACATGGCATCAGGATTGGAGGAAGACTTATTAACAACAAGCGATATGCACATAATACAACCTTGCTTGCTGACTCCAGAACTCTCCCCAAAACACACACAAACACATTGTACTCTTCCTCCTCTCAAAACCTCTATCCAATCAAACTGGTTGTCCACAATTGGATCCTAGATACTATTAGAGTGAGTAAAAAATGATACAGACTCTGGCTGCAAAATTTATTTTATTTAAAATTTTAGAAATGCAAATAAATCATTTTTAAATATAATCTCCTTGCTTTTCAATACATTTTGTCCATCTGTCAACAAGCTTTCGTATTCCCTTGTTAGAAAATGTTTTAGGCTGAGCTGCAAGCCACTGTCTTCACTTCTTCATCAGAGGTGAATCTTTGTCCTTGAAGGGCTGCTTTCAGGGGACCAAACAGTTTGTGAAACTCCAATGGACAAGATAAGGACTATAGGGAGGATGCGTTAACACTTCAAAACAAAGTTTCTACAGAAAGTCAACAGTATGGGCAGAGGTATGCAGATATGCATTGTCATGCAAGATTACAACACCCTTGGAGAGCAGTCTTCTGTGTTTAATCTGAAGTTTAGGCTTCAACTCTTCAGTGAGCATCTCACTGTAATAAGCACTGATGATTGTTGAACCTTTTCCCTGTAGTGGTCTAATATTAACCCTTGAGAAACCCAGAAAACCGTTAAGCATCAGTTTTCCAGCTGGTGGCTGATTTTTGAACTTGATCTTGGTTGCCAATTGAGGATGTTTCCATTTCATACTCTGCCATTTATTCATAGGCTTGTAGTAACGAATCCATATCTCATCACCAGTAATGATTTTTTTTAAAGAAACATTTACCTTTCTTCAAGTATTGGTCCAGATTTTGTTTGCAGATGTCCAAATGCTTCTGTTTATGCTCTTCCATGAGTTGTTTCGGTACACGTCTCGTACAAACTTTTTGAAATCCAAATCTGTTGTGGATTATTTCACAGGCAGAACCATTGCTGATTTGCAAATGATTTGCCAAATAACTCATTGTCACTTGTCTATTCAATACAATCATTTCATGTACACATTCAATGTTGTCATTAGCCATGTACGTGGACGAACATTTTAATGTAACTGGAGTGTGGACATTTTATTTTTAAGTTTTTATTGTGAATTGAGTGATAGATCATTTACATGGAGGAACATCAGTGTTACAATTATCCTATTGTATTCGTTTCATTGCATGATTACAATCCCTTGCATGCTTCATCATTCAACAGTATTTGCTTCTATTCTGTTTTTGTTTTGTTTGTTTGTTTGTGTTTGGATATGCACCAAAACACTCTGGAATATACATTCATTTAAACAGCCAAAGGGGACAAGCCTGCCCCCTGACCACCAGCACATATCCCCTCTTCCTCCATGAGTCTAGAGTCCTCAGCTGCTCCATCTCTCCATGTCATCACCTCTGCCTCCATCTCTGGAGTCACTGCTTCTCTGGGTAAGGGACCCTTGATGGTCCCAGGGTCCTCCACTCCTGGACTGTAAGATCAACCATTCACCCCTTTTTGCTACAAAACCTTTACAATTGCTACAATTGCAATTAGTCATGATAACAATTACTCACTATTGAATCATGATAGTTTTGTCCCCATCTCCTTTCACCAGACCAGCCTAGACAGGATGAAAACCACTCAGTGGGGATTCTACCTTCCCCCGCATTGTTTTATACACGCAACTTATTAGACACATACAGTAACTAATTACGGTGCTAAATCCTTTATCATGCATTATATAATTTAATGTCTCTCACATCCAATTGCTCACATCCAATTTGTAGGTGAATTCTACCCTATAAATATTTCTCAATTGCATCCTTTTCTCTTCTTCCCCACTATTAAAAGACCTTAACCTTATTCACCTACACTACTGAAAAAAATCCCTAATTGGAATCACTGCATTTGGTCTTACTACTTCCCAATCTACTTCCTTCACTCTTAAGTAATGGTTTTAAACACAAATCTGATGTCACTCTTCTGGTTAAAATCTCCCGTCATAAAATCCTAACTCTCCAATTTGGTGAGACCCTTTTGCACCTGTCACAGTTTACTTTTACAAGATTCATTTCAACCAGTTCCCCAACATGCCTTTTCCCCTGGCTAGGAATGCCCTTTGGCTCTTTGCCATGAATGCCTTCTCTTTTTTCAAGATTCAGCTCAGTAGGCATCTATTATCTATCACTATCCCAGACACTGATGAGAAAAACTGACTGGGCCTCCTTTAGTGTTTTCATAATACTCCAAGATAGTCTGTATTTCATACCAATTACACTGCACTAGTTGTTTATATTAGTCCTGTATCTCCTCTTCCCCCCATATTGTGAGTCCTTCAGCACAGAGCTCTGTCCTTTGTTCACTTATTAATTCTGGATGCCCAGTAGCAAAACCAGGATCTATCATGTTTGGCAAGGTAGAGGGTCACTGGAAAAGAGGAACACCCTCAATGAGATGGACTGGCAGTGCCTGCAACAATGGGCTCAAACATAGCACCGTTTGTGAAGATTGTGCAGGATGTGGCAGTGTTTTGTTCTGTTGTACCTAAAGTGGCTGTGAGGTGAAACTGACTTCAGGGCACCTAACACTAACAATATAAGATGATGCACTGAACAAAAAGATCTCTAATAGAATTATTAGGATTCAACAAGGTGCTGTAGGATAAAGCAATGGAACACAAGGTCGATCTGAACCACACAGTCTGCTCCTTGGAAATCCTGTACAGGGTCCTTATGAGTCAAAACCAACTAGACAGCACTTAACAATGTATTATACACATGTATTTGTTCTATGCTCCAGGAAGGTTAAATATATAAAGATAAACATATTTATATATAAATATACATATTTAACCTTCCTGGAACATAGGCTATGGCTGGGCTCTACCAACAAGTTGATTCCGACTCATGGAGACCCCATTTACCCACCCATGTGGCAGCGTACAACTGCCAACAGGGTTTTCAGGAGATCACTAGGTCTTTCTCCCACAGGGTTGCTGGGTGGGTTTAAATTGCCCACCTTTTGGTTAGCAGCCAAGTTTTAACCTTTGCACCCTAGGGTTTCTTCAGCTTAAGTGAAGCCTGGAAAGTTCGTTTCACCTCAAAGTAGGCCCAACTCGTCAGATTAGACAGAGAGGGCAGTGTGGCCCTGACAGCCATGCTAACTAACAACCAAGTCTGGCGGAACAACTTGGGTTAGTAGATTCTGACTGACTGAGGGTTATGATAGGCCTCAAGTCAGAGGAGTAGCAAAATCTAACGGGTAGCAGTTAGACTTGACTGACAGACTAACCGATGGTAGTAGCAACTTCCAGTCGACTGCTTAACGGACCAAAGGCAGAAAGAAACGATGGCGAATCCCATCCACGCCGACTGGGAGGCAGGACAGCCAGATACGAGATGCGAAGAACCGACACGCGCTCTTCGCGCCTCTGCTCACGCGGAGGATGACGGGAGCATGTCTTGCTCCTCCCGCCTTTAGCCTTGTGAGCCTCAGCGAATGCGCGTGCGCGCCAGTCCCAGTTTTCCTTCCCCTTTTCTCTTAGCCCTTTCACCCTGGGATGACGCAAACCTCGCCGAGGGCGCATGCGCGGATGCTCCGCTTCTCCGTCCATTTTCTCTTGACCCCTCCTTCTCACCCTGGGCGGGCGCGAGTATCACCGACTACACACGTGTGCGCGCGTACTTTGCTTTCCCAGTCACGTGGGTCCCGACTCTGGGTTTCTAAGCTACCGTTTTACCTTTAGTTAGCGAAATCCGGCGTTATGGCTGATGCTGTACTTCGCGCGGCTCCTCTCTCCCCGCTGCTTCCTCTTCTGGGCCTCCTGCTCCTCTTTGCCCCGCATGGCAGCAGCGGCCTGCACACCAAGGGTGCTCTTCCCCTGGATACTATCACTTTCTACAAGGTAACGGGGACGGGGGACATCGCACAGGTGCAGCCGGAGCGCCTCGGGGAGCGCGCACTTGTGAGGTACAGGGGTACGGAAGGCAGCTGAGCCCTTAGCGGTGCAATACTGACCATCCTACAGTTTCCTATCCTGCTAGGAGCACGACGGACCTTGGGCTGGGGACCTATCATGGCCGCAGGGCATACACACTACCGAGTGCTCTCGCACCCTTGCCTTTGCGGCATTTTTTTCTTATTTCCCCTTTTGCCAAAGAGCTGCAAAGTTGGAGCAGCAGAAACCAGGTGCTCCTTCCCCTGATAAATGGGGAGAGGTTCTGTGCCGGAAGAGATCTCTTCCTCATGCTCCAAGTCAGAGTCCCTGAGGACCCTTGGAGGCCCACGACACCCGGCTCCTGGCTGTAGTTTAGGCCGTGGTGGAAACTAGGTATCTTGCTTTTCTGAGCCCTGCTTCCCTTGAAATGAACTGGAGCCTGCTTTGCAATTTGCAAACAATGTGCAAATATTTTGTGTCTCCTTTATAGAGTCAGCTTTAGTCCTGCCAAGTAGGGCACCTGTTGGTGTCAACAAAGTATTTTAACTGTATTTTACAAACAATAGTATGTAACAATAGTTATGGAGAAGTTCATTGGATTCTAGAGCCTTTCCACCATTCAAATAGCTTGTAACTTCCCTGTGAGATGGTTAAGCTAAGTGTTGAGAGAGCCCCTGGTTTTATTTTGTACCCCTTGTGGGGAAATGAAACCAAGAAGTGAAACACTAAGTCTCTCAAGTGTTGAACTCTTTTCAAAAGGGTTCCCGGTTGTGGATTTGGCATCTGTAGCTAATGCAAAGTGCAGTTTCAAGAATTTAAAACTGTAGGTATGGCTGGTTGTCAGATGCACCCCACAACACCCTATGCTTTGGGACCTTTATTGGCAAAATGACACCCTGACACCCACTTCACCCATAGGGATCACATCACAGACCAACTGTGACTCAGAGGGAAACACTGTACTTGTAGATGGGCAGTATTTCCTTATCAGCACACCCCTCTCCATCTTTACTGGTCTACCAGTTTCTCATCATGGACCTTCCAGACTGTTCTCCGTTCCTACATGATCTGACTTTTGCATCCATCTCCAAACTTTTCTATCCCTTATCCCCTCTGCTCTGGCCATACGAACTTTCCTTCTGGGGAAGTTCTTTTAACATCCCTTGCTCATAACTGGAGACTTGTACATAGTCTAAACACTGGGCTGCTAACCTCAAGATCAGTGACTCAAACCCACCAACCACTCCTCAGAAACTCTGTACAGGGTTGCTATGAGTCAGAACTGACTCTATGACATTTAACAATAGCTCATTACTGCCTTAGGGCCTTTGCATTAGCTGTTCATTGAGCCTAGAACATTCTTTACCCCAATCTTTGCAAGGCTGATTACTTCTCATCATTCAGACTTAGATTAAATGTTACCGCCTCAGAGTCCTTCCCTGATTCTCACCCCTCCTCTCTCCCCAGTCTAAAGCCTATGAAATTACTGTTTAATTTCTCTGCAGAGCACTTTTCACTGATTTATTGTCAGTCACCCATACTTTATACCTGGAAAGAATTACCTTGTGTTTTTTTTCATGGATTGCCTGAACAACGTAGCATACTACCTGTCCTGTAGGAACCACTGCCATCTAGTTGGTTCAGCTCATAGTGACCCTGTATAGGATTTCCAAGGCTGTAAATCTTTATGAGACAGGAAAGCCTCATCTTTCTCCCATGGAACGGCAGGTAGGTTTGAACTAGCAGTCCAGTGCTTTTCTGTAGATGAGCAGTATTTCCTAATCAGCTAAATAAATGTGTTGAATGAACAAGTGTTCATTTCTAAATCATGAGCTCTTCCATCACCATTGAACAAAAAGGGAGTTTCCCAGTGTTCTCTTGTTCAGAGGCCTTTCTGTGCTGTGTCTTTCAGTGACTGCCAACCTTTTTTGTTGTTTCTTGCACTTCATCATTACCAGAACATCAGCTCCATATGCTAAGTGGTCCCTTCTGGTTTGCTTATTGCTGTGTTTGTAACACTTGGGACTCTGTCTGGTATATAGATAGCCTCTCAGTAACTTTCTTCTGAATGAACGATTAATTCATCTGCATTGTAAAGAAGCAAGGAGCCCTGATAGCACACTGGTTAAGGGCTTGATGTGAACTGAAAGGTCAGTGCTTCAAACCCACCAGTCGCTCCACAGGATAAAGATGTGGCAGTAGGCTTCCATAAAGATTTCCAGCCTTGGAAAACCTGTGGAGCAGTTCTACTCTGTGGAGCAGTTCTACTCTGTTGCTGAGTCAGAATCGATAGCAACAGATTTGGATTTTGTTGGTTTGTTTTAAAGAAGCAAAATATAGGTAGTGCTGGGAGCTGATTTCTCAAGGATGAAGATTTCTAAAGCGTAGTGGTTACGAATCGGGCTGCTAATCTCACGGTCAGCAGTTCGAAGCTACCAGTTGTTCTGTGGGAGAAAGATGAGGCTTTCTGCTCCCATAAAGATTTACAGCCTCGGAAACCCTGTACAAGGTCACTATGAGTCGGAACCGACTCCATGGCACATAACAACAATGAGATACAGACTGAGTAGAGGACTAAAATACAAAAAAATTCATTATGCAAGTGATTGGCCATTCAAACCATTCTGCCTTATGCTGGTTGCTAAGAATGGTGAAAGGTACAAGGTGGAGGTCACAGTTCCTTTTCAGTGTTAGACTACTGTCTGATTTTTAATAACAGGGTTGTTCTGAGTCGAAACCAACTTGATGGCACTAACAACAACAAATACAAGTATGGAGTTCTGGTGTGGCACTGTAGGGTAAGGACTGGACTGATTACTGCAAGATAACCCACCAGCCACACCTCAGGAAATCCATACAGGGTCACTCTGAGACAGAACTGGCTTGACAGCACTTAAAAGAGTATAGGATCCTTTGGAGTAGAGCCTATACTGTGCTTTAAAAAAAAAAATTCCTGAGGTCATACAGCCTCTGTCACCAAACCCTGTGGGACACTTGTTTCATTCATCGAATATTTTCTGAGCATCTGCCAAGCATTGTTGGGTAGTTAAGGACACAGAAAACAGGTCAGACAAGGTCCTTATCTCATAGATGTACATTCTAGTAGAGGGGACAGACAACAGATAATTTCACTAATTGGTCAGTCCAGTGAAGGAAAGACAGCAGAGTAATGTGATAAAGTATGTTGGTAATGAAGCATTATGATACGATTGAAGGAAGGATTCTCTGTGAGGAGGGGACATTTGAATTAAGATGTGAATAAGAGCCAGCCACGGAAAGACCCAGGAAAAAGTACCTTCCAGCCCTCAGGGACACTTAGTGAAACGGCCCTGAGTTAAGAACAGGTGTGGTGTGGTGTGGTGAACTAAAATGAGGCCAGTTGGGCCAGAGGGATGTGATCTGATTTACATTTTATGTCTTCTCTGTGTTTAGGCCCCCAGAGCTCAAACTTCATGGTGTCAGTGAGCATTTAAAGATGATCTGTCCCGATGACTCCTCTCCCTCAACGGTTACTGTTGGAAGGTTAAGCATTTTTAAAAACCTAAAACCAAATGGACACAAACAAGGACTCAACAAATATAACATTTCTTTGCTTCATACTGCATCTATGTAGACTGGGGGTAGATACAGTGATAAACTGGGACCAAAAACTGGTAGTGATCACATCAAAATAAAACTGTGATTACATTAAAAATTATAGGAGGAGGAGATAATATTATTTACAAAAGGCCGTTTTTTTTTACATAACATCTGTAGGTTGGGTAGAACCTATAAAGAGGAAGTCCTTTCGGTTCCTCAACAAGTTAAACATGACCTAGCAATTCTACCCTTAGATATAACCCAAAAGATTTGAAAGTATGTTCAAACAAAGGCTTGTACATGAATATTCATAGTAGACAAAAGGTAGAAACAACTCAGATACCTGTAACTGATGCCTGGGAAAACAAAACATGGTATATCTCTACATCACCACTGCTGCCAGTTGTTAACATGTTGACTGTGACTCATGGCAGCAACCTCACGTGCAATGGAGTAGAATTATACTCTGTAAAGTTTCCAGTGACTCATTTTTCAGAAGTAGACTGCCAGGGCTTTTGTCCGGTCCTTTTGGGTTGACTTGAACCTCCACCTCTTCAGATAGTAGCAGAGTGAATTTAGCATTTGCACAACCCAGGGACTCTTACTCAGCCATAGAAAGGAACTGTATACTGACGCACGGAGTCCTGGTGTGGCACTGCAGGATAATGCTCAAGACTGCAAGGTCTTGTGTAGGTTCTGAGGAGCAGCTTGTGGATTTGAACAACAACATACTGATTCATGCTTCAGTATGGATGTACCTTGAAAACATGCTAAGCTAAAGAAACCAGTCACAAAGAACCGCATTTTATATGATTCTGTTTGCGTGAAATATCCAGAATAGGCAAATCCATAAAGACAGAAAGTTAATTTATAGGTGCTGAATGGCGAGCATGGAGAGTGACTTGTTCAGTGGGTATGGGATTTCCTTTTAAAGTGATGAACATGTTATGAAACAAGGTAGTGATAATGAATGCACAACATTGTGTATGTACTGATTGCCACTGAATTACATACTTTAAAATGGTAAATTTTGTTTTGTAAATTTTACCATTGGAAAAAAAAAAAAGTCTTTGACCCTGACAGTTTAGGATCCAAAGATCTAGTCAAAGGGAACCATGATCTAGGGAGGGTATATTGTCCCAAGCCTGGCTTCTTGGTAACTTCCTGTCAGCCTTGTTGAAATTGTTGAGTTCATACTCTGGACTCCCTAGCCAAAACTTTCTCCCTGTTGCTAGCTCTGTTGTAGACATTTTTTGTCAGCTTTCTGAGTCAGTGTTTACTGAGATAGGCTTTCTGGGTTGGTGGGTACAGAAGGTCTCCTTTACCTTAATGAAAGGGTGACTGCATCAGGAGACCTGGGTACAGCCACAGCCTTTATTCCACAGTTGTGTCTTTTGATTAGAGTGCACAAGTACCTAGTGGGTACCTGGCACATAGCACATACTCTGTAAATTGTTTAAATAACCAATGAATGAGTCAATGAATATGTTTGTGAGAGTTTGTCTCCCTCCTGGGCTTGGTTCCCTCTGTTTCTAAAACGGGCCCCTTGGGAAGGGGAACTAGTCCCAAAGGTCCCTGGAACCCCCCACTTGCTCAGCTCTATGCGCCCTCAGGTCATTCCCAAAAGCAAGTTCGTCTTGGTGAAGTTCGACACCCAGTATCCCTACGGTGAGAAGCAGGATGAGTTCAAGCGTCTGGCTGAAAACTCGGCCTCCAGCGATGATCTCTTGGTGGCAGAGGTGGGGATCTCAGGTATGGACAAGTCCAGGATGACTGGGGAGGGCACAGAGGGAGGACGCTAGGAATGAGTTTCCTAATTGCCTCTAGTGTAGGCAGACTCCACAGCGCCTCTCCATCCCAGCCACCCATGTGGGGTGTGTTTCACCGTCTCACAGACTATAGACCCACGGCAAGCTTAACCTGAGCAGATCTAGAGTACAAAACCTCAGCTCATCCCTTCCCTCCCGCCTCAGCCCGACATTAAATTTACAGCAAGAACGGTAAGCTCTCCTCACTGGGTTTTATTTTTATGGTGGGGGGGGGGAGAGGGGGGTCACATTTCCTGGAGGATTCCAGAGTTAGTGCTTCCTTCCATTTTTTCCCAACTATTGGGGTTTTGACTTTTGATTCAAATGCACTAATCCAAAAGCAACTCTCAGTCATAGTAATGACTTTAATGGTAATAGTTATTTAGTGGTTGATAGTCCATAGAGATTTTAACAGGCACAGTTTTAATCTTCACTTAAGCCCTGCCTAAGAAGTAAAATGTATTATTGTCTTGTTTTCCTTGAGGAAAAGTGAAACTCCAGGAGCCTTAATGACTAGTCCAGGGCTATGGGGCTGGAGAAACTCATCCAGAACTACAGCTGAGTGAAGTGTGGTGGCGTCTCACTGCTCAGCTTCCTAATTTCTAACGTTTATCAGATGTTTGTTGTGTGCCAGGTCACAGCTAAGTGTACTTGGGTGGTTCTTTGGTTTTTAATCTCTCACACTATAAAGGAAATACTGTGGCACTATTAACCCCATTTTTAAAATGAAGAAACAGATTCTGAGTAACTTCTGCAATATTACACAGCTGTGAAGTTGCAAAACTAAGATTGGAACCCCACCTTACTAGCCAACAATTGGTGGTCTTGGCTATTTCTCCCTGGCAGGTTTAAGAAACCAGTCTTCATAGTTTCCGCCCTTGGGACTGCTACTGCCAGTTAGGGAAGACACAGCAAATATTAACAGCTGGTGATGTAGGGGGTTAATGTGTTGGACTGCTCACCGTTAAGGTCAGCATTTCAAATCCACAGCCACTCTGCAGGAGAAAGGTGAGGCTTTCTACTCCCATAAAGATTTACAGTCTCAGAAACCCTATACAGTTGTCAAAACCAACTCGACAGTACACCACCACCACATATTAGGAGTCCTGATATGGCGTTGTTGGATAAGCACTGGACTGCTAACCACAAGGTTGGCAGTTTAAACCCATAAGCCAAACCTTGAAAACTCTGTACAGGGTCACTATAAGTTGGAACCGACTTGACAGCACTTAACCACCACCACAACTGTGTATTAAGCAGGTAACTGCCAGGTCTCAGGCCTGTGTTCCCTCATTGCCCCCTCCTGGCCGTCCTTGTCTGGCAGAGACCATAGTCATTACTTACCCCCAAATTCCCCTTGCTCACCAAGCTCCAGCTATGCCCACCTGAAATGGCCTTCTTACCTGTCACTGGCAAGCACCACATTGTATTTTCATCATAAAACGAACCACTTATGCTCATTTGTTTATTGTATCTCTTCTCACCTTTTGACAGTAAGCTCCTTGAGGGCAGGGAGCTTGACACTATCACAACTAGATCTGCAGCACCTAGAACAGTATCTGGTACATAGTAAATACTTATTCAGAATAATTCCATTTTGCACATTGTGAAAGTGTTCAGAGAGGTTAATAGACTTAAAAAGCCACATGGCTAGGAAGTGGCAGAAGAGGGATTCAAACCAAAGTATTTGTGGGCAGTCCTCACTTTGAACACTTACACAGCCAAAGTTCTTCTTCCCCTCAGCTCAGATAGACCCCATAACAATTTCCTGCTGAATCCACCATGGTCCTGCTTATCTCTGGTTTCTGTTCACAGATTATGGTGACAAGCTGAACATGGAGCTAAGCGAGAAATATAAGCTGGATAAAGAGAACTACCCATTCTTCTTCCTCTTCCGGGATGGTGACTTTGAGAACCCAGTTGTGTATACTGGGACAGTTAAGGTTGGAGCCATCCAGCGATGGCTAAAGGGGCAGGGAGTGTACCTAGGTATGCCTGGTTGCCTGTCTGCCTATGATGCCCTGGCTGGAGAGTTCATCAGAGCCTCTGGCATGGAGGCACGCAAGGCCCTGTTGAAGCAGGGAAAGGAGCTCCTCACCAATGTGAAGGAGACCCAGAAGAAGTGGGCGGAGCAATACCTGAAGGTCATGGGGAAGGTCTTAGACCAAGGTGAGAACTTCCCAGCGCTAGAGATAACAAGGATCACCAAACTGATTGAGAACAAGATGAGTGACGGGAAGAAGGAGGAACTCCAGAAGAGCTTGAACATTCTGGCTGCTTTCCAGCAGAAGGGGGCAGAGAAAGAGGAGCTATAAACAGGCACTCCTGGCTTTGGTGGGGATGGGAGGGAAGAGTTACTTGCTGGCTGTGAGAGCCTTGAGGGGTAGTGGAAGAAGTGGTACTTCACCTGAAATCTGAGCCCTGAGTGTCCCTGGACATTGATGTGGATGTGACTGTGCTTGGAACAGGTCTGGGGATACCTGGATCTCAGCTAGCTTGTGAAAATGCCCCCTCCAAAGGAATTGGTGCTATAAAGAGTACTGCCCAGGTCCCAGACAGGTGTCATTCTGATTCAATTAAAGTTTCAGTCTTTTGATTAAGTGGATCTGAAGCCACTCGTTTTTTTTTTCAATTGATACTTTGGATTATGACCTGCTTTTACCTTTGAATTTACTTTTCAATCTAAATTGCTATGGAGACAGCAGTTCGAAACTACCAGCTGTTCTGCCAGAGACAGCTGAGGCTTTCTCCTCCCGTAAAGATTTATAGTCTTGGAAACCCTGTACAGGGTCACTATGAGTCGGAACTATAACCACACTCAGCCAAGTTAAATCCTACAGGGGTAGTTCTACTCTATTACCCGGTGGCTGTGAGTTGAATTTGACAATGGGTTTAGTTGTTTTGTTTGGCTACCAGAGTGTTAACACTCTAGAAAGTTGCCTCAACTCAGGGCCTAACTTTCTTCTATCCAATTGGTGTTCTGCCTCAAGTGGATGGACTGTGGGTACTTAAATGTGTTGCCCATTTTCTGGCTCTTAAAACGGAAAGGTCACATGCATGAACCGTGGTGTAACTTTTTCCATAGTTCTCGAAGTACATAGAGCAAACTCTATAGAGTAGATGTAATCTGGTGATATTTATAAAAAGTTGGGTTTAGACAGCTAAATGATGGTATAAACTCAATTTGTTCTAATTTGAAAGTTATAAACAAAAACTGAATGGTTTCTCATATAACCCACTTCATTACTGTCACTCAATGGGTACCAACTTTTGAAAAGCAGAGTGTGGAGTGCATTGTACTGGTTTTCATATCTGTTCTCAGGAGTGGTGAGCAGTTGGTGGATATCTGGTGAAGTTTCAATGTAACATGCGTATTTGGAAATGTCATTAAATCTTCTTAAAAATGTCTACTTAAACCTATACAAAAAAAATTTAAGTTGAACAGAGTAGTTAAATAAAGGCTTAAATTGTTAATTTTCCCGTTTATCCAGGTTGGCATTTAAAGACTCAGTGGAAAGATAAACTACAGGTAGATATATACGTGCTGAACTGGATGGGGAGAACAATTGTGATAGGCTAACTATTCAGATCAGCTAGATAAGAAACATTCAAACCTAAACATACCCACCTGCCCAGAGCTGGCGTTTATCCACTCAACCTCTGATGAAATGCCATGACCACATATATTTTTTACACTTAAAACAGTTTCAGTATTTTCCCTTCTCATTTCAATTCTAATAGAAACTCTGGAAGATCTTTTTGGATGCTTGAATTTTTCATTTTTTCTCATATTTAAGCAGGGCTGATTTCAAAGAACAAAGTATATAGTGTTATAGAAATTAGAATTAGGTTGAGTGACAGTCCAGGAAAGGAGGCTAAAACTAAATTAGGCAGTCTCTGAATATGGTCTTGTCTCGATTCTCAATAATCAGAACCAAAGAAAGGAAGTGGCAGTACATCCATGGGCAAGTCATTGAATGGACCTAGATGGGGGTATTGGTATTATAGGGACTTCAGAGGGGGCTAGCTCACCATCTACCAGAGACTCCTTTTGATTCTAACTCATAGCAACCCTGCATAAGGTTTCTGAGGAGTGGCTGTCGGGTTTGAACTGCTTATCCTACAGCACCACAACAGGACTTTGTATGTAGTTAATTATTTCCCATTCAAAGTTGGTTGAATTCAGTCTGTTACTTAGGTCAGATAGAAGAATCCTTCCCTCAATTTCTTAACTTCTAAAATTAATATTGTGACTGAGATATTATTAAAACAAGACTGTGGACTGGTTTCTCAGAATAGAATGAACATGTATAATTTTAAGGCAATTGACAGATAAGCTGAAGCAAAAGAGACTAGATCTAACATCATCCAAAAACTTGCAAATTTTTTCAAATGGTGTCAAAAGGAACGTTAGTTGGCATCCAGTTGGTTCTGATTCACGGTGTTTCCATGTACAACAGAGGGAAGCATTATCCAGTACTCTCATCTTTGTGGTTGTTTGATTCTACATGTTGGAGACACAGTGTAGTGTCTTCCAATCTAGGGGGTTTGTCTTACATCACTATAATGGATAATCGTGTGCTGTACTTCATAGGGTTCTCACTGATTAATTTTCCATAGAATGCCAGACCTTTCTTGCTAGTCTGTCTTAGTCTAGAAGCTCCGCTGAAACCTGTTCATGATGAGTGGTTCTGCATGTATTTGCAATACTGGTGGCATAGCTTCCAGCATCATAGTAAGAAACTATGTTTGACGTTCAGTGGTGGGATTTACAGTCCTTGGTAAATGGTACCACATACATGCATACAAAAAATTGGGGGAGTTGGAGTAGCATCAGGGAAACTGATTATTCAGTAAAGAACTATGATAGAATCTGGGAATTTAAACAAGACCATCAAGACTTTGTGGGATGGTGTGTTGTTGTTATGTGCCGTGGAGTCGGTTCCGACTCATAGCAACCTTGTACAAGGTTTCCGAGGCTGTGAATCTTTACAGGCACAGAAAGCCTCGGCTTTCTCTCGTGAACAGCTGGTAGTTTCGAACTTCTGACTGACTGTGAGATTAGCAGCCTGATTCGTAACCACTACACTACCAGAGCTCCTTGTGGGATGATGTAGGTGGATAGATTTAGTTCATTTCAATAATGCTTACAGAGTTTGAATCCTATGCTGGAGACTTGGATCCCAAACTTTACCCCACTGGATCAACACTTTATTAGTCCTATCTGATATAACTACCATCTTCCCATATGTAAAACAGTCCACACCGTGGACCCTAATCCACATTACTGGAGTATATAGGAGCTGGAGCTTGCAGAAATGTTTGGTGCTATTCAAATGCACACTACTGTAGTAACCCCACAAATCGCTTTTATAAGGAGAAACTGGCTTATAGTAGCATGCCTCACTTATTAGCATAGCACTATGAAATAAACATCTGCATGAAAACATCAACAGAATCTGAAAAGAGGCACTAAACAAGAATATCCCAACCCTATCTTTTAGAGTCTTGGTGTAGTGCTGTAGGATCATCAGCACTGGACTGCTAACCACAAGGTTGGTGATTCAAACTCACCAGCTGGTCCTTGGAAACCATATTCAGGGTCACTATGAATTGGAACTGACTCAACAACACTTAACATCTTTTGGAGGAAGTTAGCAATGGCAGTGAATTATAGATTCTCATCTTTTATTAAGAGAAAAAGGAATGCTGAGGTGGAGTTCATACCTGAAGAGGCAAGAAAAACTGACTTTTTTTCCAGAGCTCAAGAGGACTTAATGGGATAGGAGAAAGGAAAGTAAGAGGAAAAATAATCCCTTCTTTTCAATGTACTGGCAATGTGAATGAGTTCATTTTGAATCTCAGACTGTGGGTCCAAACACCCTGGGATGGTTCATCATCAAAATTTAAAATCTCATTGCTTCCCCTGGCTACAAGGTTCTGACTAGTCCCATCTTGACTCTACCTCCTATCTCAGTCCCTACCACTCTCCTCTCCCTTCACTATGTCCCAGCCACTTGAGCCTTTTCACCAGTAGCTAGAACATGCTCTGAGCAGGGCCTTTGTTTGCATTCTTTCGTCCAAAGCTGACTGTATCTTCCAGGCCAAATATTAACACCTGAGTGATCTTATACCCTAATCTAAAGTGACCTTGTAGGGCTCTCTAAAGAGCTCTGGTGGTAAAATGGTTAAGTGCTTGAATGAAAGGTTTAAACTCACCCAGTGGCTCTGCAGGAGAAGTCCTGTCAATCTGCTCCCATAAAGACTCCTGCCTAGGAAACCCCATAGGATAGTTCTGCTCTGTCACAGGAGGATGCTAAGAGTCAGAAATGACTGTAGCCAACAAGAATAGGCATACTCTGTCATATACCTTAGTTTACTTTCTTAAACAGGACTTAATTACAATCTAATACTCCACCTTTCTACTATCTAATAGGACATTGGGTATCACCATTTTATCAGTAGAGATCTGGTGTAAAGGCTTAGTACATATTTATAGGATTAATGGATGCTAGTCTGCAAGGGACAGTTTATAAACAAAACTCATGTCCTTGGAATACAAAATTAAAATTCAGAAATAATAAATTTTTGCTGGGGATATAGCACTCAATACAAAAATGAGGTAAATTATGCCACTCATGAGAGGGCTTCAAAAAGTTCTTGGAAATAGTTTATCTTTTCATTCCAATTTTTCCATGAATTTTATGAAGTCCCTTGAGAAGGCTGAGGCTTTAAAAAATCTTAACAGAAATGAACCAGGCAGAAATGCCAACTTAAGATGAAAACTGTTTATATAAATTAACCCATCCAGTTTATACTTAATTCTGAAAAAGGAAGACTACATACTTCCCATATTAATAAGTCACATCAAATGGGAAGAGTTTCACTAACAAGGTCATGTACATAGAAACTCCTTTTTATATTAAAATTTAAATGAAAGACAGACCCAGGTTGAACACAGTGATTGCAAAATATAATGCAATTTTGAGGAATTAAAATTATGAAGATATACAAAATTGATGGGCAACATAGCTAGGTATTTGTACATTTTCCATTATGTGGAGAACACTAAAAATTTCTCTACTTTTATCCACATCAGATAAACCAAATTATTTGCCTTGGAGACTCTTAAATTTAGCATCTCAGTAGTATAAAAAGCAGTAATTTTTCAGTCTGTAAACAGTAGTTGTAGTTTTTCTTTGCTTTTTTTCCTTAAATATCAACTTATCACAAAAACAAAACAAAACCCCCCACACAAACAAAAAACCCCACAAAGAAACAAAACAGCAGCAGCAACAGCAATTGGCTATTTGGGAATTCTCTTCAAACACCAATGATGACATACGATTGCTGGGAGAGGGTGTTTTTACTCATGTAAGAATATATATATATGTATATATGTATATTTTTAACTGTACACAATTTATAGTGCATGAGTTTTCAAAAGAACAGATCAATAAAAGATCTTGGCCATTTCTGCATAATTTCATTCTTTTTACAATTATCTCAAAATGTAAAGAGGTTGGATCTAATTGAAATGCTACATTTAGTAGGAAAATCAGCAAGTATCAAAGGAAGCAAACCTTGACGACGTAACATTATCTGCCATTAAAACCAGTAGAGGTCCCGGAAGTCACTAGGCAGGAGATGGGTTAGGTAGACCATTGGAGTCACACACTGTCCCTGAAGACCAAAGCCAGCCCACTGAGCACACACTTGCTAGATTGAGCATGGTCAATTGATAGACTTGCTTCAAAGAATATGTCTATGTACAGTACTTTTTGGGATATTAAAAAAAAAACACATTATTTAAAGAACACATGCCGTACACACACACCCATACACACACACACACATACAAAGTTCCATCTAAAGTAGGCCACAGTTTTATGGAATAATGATATGTTGTCATTAAATTCTAGTCAGAATCAATTCGAATTTTCAATTCATCTTGTTCTGAACAGTTCTTCCTTTTGGAACAGGGTAAGTGACAGTTGTGGCTACCAATTAACAACCAAACTTTCTATTAATTACTTGGTAAGCTAGGCTGTCCATCAAGTCTTTGAGCATTTTAAAAAGTTTTCTTGGAAGTTTATATCATCATTAATCACCATATCAAATTGGGAATCTAAGAAAGTCTAGATGAGGGCACAAAATGCATTTACTTTGCATATAGATTTCAAGCTCTCTTGACTGATTTTAAAGAGGAAATATATTTCACTGGAGCAGTGAGTAGGGAGACAACTTTTAAGGCTTTCAAGACTAAGCCACCATCATATGCTTAAATTTCTTCACCAAATTCATTTCTTTGTTCTTAGAGAATTACTTTAACCAAAAGTTGGATAACAAAATCTAAAAATGGAAGTGGAAATTCAAACATTAAAAAATCATGAAAGCAACTGTATAAATTGTATAACATTTTCAAGAGCAAATTGTATCCTTTCTCTCAGATCAATCTCTGAGGCTACAGTTTTGGCAACCTCTATGTGAACACAAAAACCCTGGTATAATTCTCAAGTCTGAAAAAAAACAGACTGAGCTTCAAATTCATAGGATGACATTTCTTCTGCCAACCCCAAACTTAAAACCTAAGTCCATAATATATATTCCTTTCCCAAACCCCTTAAGAACACTGAAGTATGAATTCTTCAAGTGTGTATGTGTATATATACAGATATATATACACACACACACATATATATATATATATATGTATATATGTCTATACATATGTGAACAGCTTTAAAAGGTTCGTGGAAAATGGGATTGAAAGATAATGGAACTTTTCCATGGACTTCTTTTTTTTCCCCCCATGGACTTCTTGAAGCCTCCTAATATAACTTCATGAATCACTTGCAGAAGCCAATGAAATTAGTGACATACTTGCCTGCATAATTATGTACACCTCTCTTCTTTCAAAAAGTGATTCCCATCTTTCAGAAATGGATGTCAAATTAGCAGGCTCACAAGTCTGCACTGCTTTTTCCTCAGAACAGCTGTGCATTCACAGAAGCCTGTCTTACTGCTCTGTACCTGTTTTAACTCTCACAGAAGATAGGATGGGGATGTCATCGCTACCAGGACTACCAAGCCACAAAATGAGCACCCGTGGTCATCTAGGTGGAACCTTTCTGAAGAAGGTGCCTGTGCCCTCAAATAATGAGTGCGCTTATGCCAAATTTTACCTAAGGCCCTTTGTGAGTCTGCCTTGAGCTAAGGGGAGCCAAGCAGCTGAGGGAAGATTCAAAATGACCTTCCCTGCTCCTGTGGAAAGAGGGCTTGGGCCTGCTCCCAGTCACGATCCCCTTGATCTTGCTTTCTGTTTCCTCAGGCTCAAAGACCAGACCAAACCCCCACTGATATAGTAAAAATGCCACTCAGTGGCTCTGCAGCGAATGCTTAATCTCTACTGCACTTTGATAGGGCCACGTGCACCCAGATGTTTCTGGTGATGGGAGGGAAGAAAAGTGGGTTTTTTTGTGGCTGCCATATGCATATGAACATTTATAAAAAGTGGTCACGCCCACATGAGGGTCCTATTTCTGGTTTATATACAATAATTTAATCAGATGTTTGTTTTTAATACCTAAAAAATTAATTCACGATCAAAGTCCTTCATGCATTTTATGAGGAAGTTCTGGATAAAAATGATGGTCAACCAGATGTAGCTTTTGCCTGGAAAGATGGTGTCATTCTCTGTGGTAGAGTCAGCGTTGCCTGCGATTCACACTTCCTTAAATTTTTATTTTCTTTGTGGTCTCAAGTCTTTTTTTCAGCAGCTCCCCAATTTCCAGAAGTGAGTGCAGATAACTGTTCTGTACCTTCCCTTGCACAGTCTTTGAAAATTTTCTTTCTTCCTACAAAGGAAAGAGAAGACTGCTCAGAAACCATTCCACATATAATTACTAAGTTAAAAGTTGAAATTAGCATTAACTTTGGTTTCAATGAAAACCTCATTCAGAACTGTTCTGTTCCATTTCATAACATGCAAAGAAGGCTGAAGGTCATCACAGATGTTAATTGTCCATGTGGTTTTTCTGCAAGACTGTCACTTTAGCATCATTATTCTTGCAGGTAATCTTTGTTATAAGCTTATTGTTGTTAAGTGCCATCGAGTCAGTGCCGACCCATAGTGACCCTATATAGGGTTTCTGAGGAGCAGCTGGTAAGGTTAAACCACCAACCTTGAAGTTCAAACTTCTTTACAGTCTGGCGCATTAACCCACAGCACCACACCAGGACTCCTTGTTATAAACTTACGAAGTAGAAAAACATTTCTGATCACCAGTTTTCATTGGGAGTCCTGGCGCTACAGGTTAATGCACTAGAGTGCAAGGTAGGTTTGAACTGCAAGGTCTGTGGTTCAATTACCTGCAAGAATATGGCTCCTTGGGAACCATATAAACGGTTATGACAACTCAGAACCAACTTGACAGCACTTAACAAAAATAAGTTTTTGATCAAGAAATATTACTAAGTTTGAATATTAAAGCACTGTTATAAGGTGTACAAAAAGAAAAAAAGTTTCTGATTATTAGATTTCATCAAGAAAGAGATTCATTGCTGATTTACACACTGATTATAGCTATTTATTAAAGGTATCAAATTTCCCAACTTCAGCTTTCCCAATTACAATATTGGCAAGTTTCCCTGAATATTAACAAAGTCCATGGACTTAAGAGGCCAAAAAAGTTTTAAGAAGACCAAAGCTTTGCTGCCTACTCATATAAGTGAGTTAAATATTGACTGCCACATTTGGCCTGTGGTTGTGTGGTTGTTGTTAAGTGCTGTCCGTTGAGTCAGTCCCGACCCACAGTGAACCTGTATAGGGTTTCCTAGGAGCAGCTGGTGAGCCTGTGGTAGAGACCACAAAAATCAAAGGAGATGAAGTGTTTAAACACAGAAAGGAGGTTGGCAGCATTGCAAAGCCCAGGATGGCAGAAATCCAGTAAGTACATCCTATGATCCAACAGTACAACTGCTTGGGAGCTAATCTTTCTTAGAAAATAATATATACATTAGAAGGTATGTGCAAATATATTCCATGTAATTAATGAGAATACATATGCGCATAAAACGGTATACATACAGGCAGTCCTATATGTAAAAGAAAATATACAGAAACAATCTTTAACGTCCAATGGCTGTAGTGTATTCTTATTTTGAATACTGAGCAGCTATTGAAAAGAACAGGGGTAATCTATATTCATCAATATAAACAGACTTCTTGAACACATGACTGAGTGGGGGTGGCATGGGATGTTACCCATGCCATGGGATAAGTATGTATCATTTGCTATGTATATATTTTTTCATTTACTATTTTTTTAAATTACAAAATAGTACGGTGTAGGGTGGGGCTTGATGGCAGGGTAGAGGTGCAGTGAAGATCTCCGTCAGCAATACCAAAGAATACCAGGCAAAGCAAGTTCAGGGGAGAACTCCAAAACTATGAACCACATATGCATATTTAAAAAGTTTGAAGGCTTATAGCTACTCTATAAAGCTTGTAGCAGAAGCAAGAAATCTCATAAGTTTAAACCTGCCAACCTCAACGTCCCATAGCCAACAACGTGGATGAGACCAAACAGCAAGACCAAGCGAGAGAGCAAGCAGACCTGCCACGGACTAATGCATGTGGGAACCTCAGAGACAAAGATGAACAATATTTTTTGTCTTGTTCTGATTTTTTTGGTATCTGTTCATTGGCCTCTCGCTGTCTGCGCCCCTTCATTTTGGTGAATAGAGGGGTGTCTGAGCACCTCAATCCCACCACTGGAGGGTTCTTTTACCACCCATGCACACAGATCCTCTCAGTAATTAAAGGGGCACTCCCTGCTTAAAACCAAATGGCAGTGTAAAACGGACACAGCCAGCCCTGAACTGTTTATTAATAGGGGAAAAAGGCCAGGACACGGATTGTGGAGTGGGAGACGAAAAACAAGACAGGCAGAAAATTAAATCTTGAGGTACAGCAAAACAACCAACAGTGGCATCTTGAAACTTATCAGGTGGCCTTGAAGGCAAGAAACAAAAAGAGGATATTAAAGTCATACTCATATTAGGCTACAGATCTTTTTTTTCCTTCTTGTTTCTCTCTCTCTTTTCTGTGATTGTAGACTACAGTATCCAATCTGGGTTTTTTTGTTTTGTTTTTTTTTTTGCTGTATTTTTATTCCCCCTTTTACCTTTAGAAGGCTCTTTCTGTATATTACCCAGGAAGAGACAGCAATTGCTGCCATATAGTCAAGCTACAATCACACCCTATGAAACCCTACAATCCAGGCAAGAACCAGTATCAACTGCCATACACCAGGGAGGCAGACAACACCTATGAAAGTTACTCTGAGTTAAGCAATAAGACAAGTGAAAAGGGAAGCCCACCTCCTGATTACATCTACCTGCAGGCAATCAGAATGCATAAAAAATACGAAGAATCATGCTCAGTTAAGTATTAAGGCCACAGCTAACCACTGAACATGTCCAAGAAGCAAAAACAGACGACCATATCAGCACATGTCCCGAAACAAGATAAAATAGCTGAGACAAATAACCTAGAGGTAGACCTAGACTCCATTCTGGAAGGAGGGCAGGCCTTGGAAATTCCTGAGAAGGAATTCAGAAAAATGACTATAAAATGTTTCAAAACACTTTACAATGGAGTTGACAAAAATAAGAAAACGTCAGGAAAGCGCTACAGGAACAATCAAATAAGATAGATACAACATTGGAAACGATTCAAAACCTAAAGAGATCCAAATGATTAATAATAGAATATCAAAAGTAGACACTACACTGAAAGGGCAAAGAAACAGAATTTAAGAGATGGAAGCCAGAACTTGTGAGCTGGAAGACAAATTTCTCAATATTACTAAGACAGAAGAGCAAGCAGAAAAAAGGATTAAAAAAAATCTGAAGAAGGTCTAAGATTCAGTTGGACAATATGAAGAGGAATAACTTAAGAATTATTGGCATTCTGGAACAGGAAGAATCACACAAGTCCATAGAGGAGATAGTTGAAGAGCTGCTGGAAGAAAATTTCTCTAACATCCTGAAAGGGGAAAAGATAAGCATTCAAGCTCAACAAAATGGCAGGAAGGATAGACCTCAAAAGAAAATCACCACGACATATCATAATCAAGCTCTCCAAAAAGAAAGATAAGGAGGCAATCCTGAAAGCAGCTAAGGAAAAGAAAAGCATTATATACAAAGGCAAGCAAGTCAGTTTAAACTCAGATCTCAACAGAAACCATGCAGGCAAGAAGGCAATGGGGAGACATATAAAAAACCCTGAAAGGAAAAAAACTGCCAACCAAGAATCCTTTATACAGCAGAACTATCAATCAATTACAACTGTACATTCAAAACATGCCAGTATAAACAAAAGCTAAGAGATTCTGCCAAAGCCAACAATGCGCTACAAAACATCCTACAGGGAGTTCTGTGGACCCAACAAGAGCAGATAATAACCAAAGATTGACATACGGTGGCAGCAGCTCCTGGAACTTAAATCAACAAATGTAAGAGCCAAGAACAGAACAAAACTATAAGAACAAATTCAGAGGATCTGGGAGGTCAGTATAGAATCAAAACAATTACAATATGAAAGAAAGTAAACGAGTAGGAACAGAGATCCAGATGGTGAGAAGGTCAGCTAGATTACAGGATAAATAGAGTGCACTAAATGGAGGGAAAAGTTAATGGAATATAAGGTAATCTCAAAGAAAACTAAGACTTCACAACATACCAAGAAAATGAAAATCCAAGAAGAACATGGAAACATTAAAGCTATGAGGTAACTGACAAGAAAGAACACAAAAAACATGAACTCAGCACAGGAAGACACTCAGAACAAAGAAAGCAGCAGCACCACAAAAAACAAACAAACATAATGGCAGCAATTACTCCATACCTATTGATAACTGCACTGAATGTAAATGGATTAAATGCACAAGTTAAGAGACAGCGAATGGCAGAATGGATAAGAAACCAAGATCCTTTGATTTGCTGTCTGCAAGGGATACACACCTTAAACACAGAGACCAAAATTGACTTTAGTCAAAGGATGGGAAAAAAAATACACCAAGTTAATTGCAATAAAAAATGAGCAGGAGTGGCAATACTAACCTCAGATAAAATAAGCTTTCAAGCAAAAACCAGCATAATAAAGATGAACATTATCTCAAGATTAAAGGGACAACTGAAAAAGATGACAGAACCTTAATAAGTATCTATGCTCTGAATTTAAGATCTCCAAAATATATAAAGCAAACTCTAATAGATTTGAAGAAAGAAATAGACAAATCAACAATAATAGCAGGCAATTTTAATATACCACTGTCGAAAATGAATAGAAAAATGAGAAAGACACTTGACAAAGACACAGAGGAACTAAAAAAAAAACAGTCAACAGGACCTCATAGATGTGTACAGAGCATTCAACCCAACAACCACACAATACACATTCTTTCCAGTGCATATGGACCATTACAAAACAAGCCTCCATAAATTTACAAATATCAAAATACTACAAAGCATCTTCTCAGACCACAATGCTATCAAATTAAATCAACAATAGGAAGACCAAGGAAATAAAGTCAAATACATGGAAACTGAATAACACCTGGCTGAAAAGCGACTGGTTAGTAGAAGAAATTAAACGTGAATTCACAAAGTTCCTAGAAACAAATGAGAACGAAAACACAACACACCAAAATCTTTGGGACACGGCGAAAGCGGAGCTAAGAGGACAGTTTATTGCAATAAATACTCACATCCAAAAAGAAGAATCAAAATTTACACATCTAACACAGCATGTTCAACAATTAGAAACAGACCAACAGAGGGTACATTCAGT